TGTCCTCGGGGAGATACTGCAGGTCCACCGGCAGACCTGAGCAACACATCAGCTTCAGTTCAGCGTCTTCCACCAGAGATTATTCTAGATCAGGGGTCTGCAACCTGCGACACCGGAGCCACATGGGGCTCTTTAGACCCTCTTCAATGGCTCATAATAATGGCGTAAAAGAAGAATAAATCTATCTGTATAACGGGTCCACCACTTCTGGAACCTCGTTAAGGTGAACATGATGGTCTGAAAAGGCCGCTGTGTTTTGTTTACAGAGGAAGATGGTCGGGGCTCTCTGACATTTTCCCCCTTTTTATGTTACATAAGAGGCTGAGCAGTTCTACATTCTTTCTCTTAGATTCGTTATTTATGACAGCAAAAACCCATCTAAAGATAAATAAAAAACTAATTCTTAAAATAAGTTTATTTCCCCTCATTTGAGCAGGTAATTAAGTTGATCTGCCAATGGAAAAAAAGTATTTCTCCTGTGAAATTAGGCAACTACATAATTTACATTTATGAATCAGGCAAAAAAAAAAAAAAAAGGTTTTGCTTTAGAGACCATGATGCTTTAATTTCTCCATGTTTCTCCTGTTTATTCTGTGATCGGCTGGTTTTGCCAAACTCTGAAATAAATTCTTGTTTTCTAATGACGTCATATATCTGTTGTGGTTAATAGTTTATTTCCTGTTCCACTCAGCGTTGGACATCATCCCATCCAGGTCTGCAGTACTGGGTTGTTGATTAATCAATTAGCAAAATAAAAGATATAGGTTCTTTTTCAAAATTATTTTACATGAAAATAAGATTTAAGACTAAATAAGATATTTTTTCCTTAAAAAAAAAAGATACAGATTTTAAAGCAGGCAAAGCTAAAACTAATCAATTAAGGAGTTCTGGAGCAAATATATTGACAAAAATTAATTTTTCTTTAACTTCAATGCAAAATGTTTTAAAAATTTCTTACAATTATAGTTTAATTACTGCTGTATGTGAACCATAAAGCAGTAATTAAACTATAAATGCAGTAAATAGTTTAATTACACTGCAAAAAATTGCAGTCTAAATAAGTCATTTTTTCTTAAAATAAGTGCATTTGTTCTTGGATTTAGGTGCTAAGTGAGACACTTTGCCAATGGAACAAGAGAATTTACATTTAAAATAAGAATAAAACAATTACATTGTCTTATTTCAAGTGGATATCATCTAATTATCTTATTTTAAGAGCAAAACTACTCATTCTATTGGCAGATCATCTTATTTACCTGCTCAAATTAAGGGGAAATATACTTCATTCAAGATATTTTTACTTATTTCTAGATAGTTTNGCACCAGTTCGCTGTTTGCCAATAACCAGTAAACACCAAGAAGAAGAACCCCAATCCGGAAGTGACGTCATGTTTGAGGCTAACGTGCCCACATGCTGTTTCTTCCACATGATTTTCTTCATATCGGAGCCGTTTCTGTGAAGGATTTTGTGACATGAGATCAGGAGGAGCCCTGCGGCGATTTTAAGGTGATTTTAACTAAAGAACAAACTTTTTTTTAAAGCTTAAATATCTTCTGGACGACTCCCGCTTTATAAACATGCGTGAATGTTATGAAATAAACTCAGATAAATTCCTCCACACATGATGAAGGGAAAGAAACTTCAGCTGAAGGTGATTTATTTTGAAATGAGGGTCAGAAGTTTGAAGCATGATTGATTTTATTTAAATTAGATTTCCACCGTCTATAAAATTAATTACATGAAAGATTTTCTGCTTTACTTGCTCTGTTTTTGCATTAAGCCTCTTCTTGCCTGTATTGTTGAGCTGCTGGCTGATTGGATGTGTTTATCTGTGATAGTGTAGAAGATGCTGAGTGACTGTGAGGCTGCAGAGCTGCTGTCCTTCCTGACCCCCAGCACCAGGCCTGATGTGAAGGGAAAGGCTACAGAGTACATCCTGGGACTGTCTGGGAACAGGTGAGATACTGGAGGCTCCTCTGCAGGGTTGCCTCTATAGTAGTGATGCTGAGATGAAGCCTCATGAGGCATTGAACCTTTTGGCCAAATTGCTTCAACGATCCCCACAGTTCATGAGGCTCCATGTGAACATGTCTCCACCTACTGGTGGGAAGCAGAACTACAGTTTAAAATAAAATCTGTGAATTTTTTTTTTTTTTGCAACTGTTTTTCTTTTTTTCCACTTTTAAGTTCCCTTGAAATTATTAATGATTGGTGTGTATAATAAAATCTTTTGTAAGTTTTTTAATTGTAAAATTTCTTAGAACAATCATTTAAGGCGCACAGTTTTTCTGCCATTTTAGTGAAATAAACTCAAACAGGCAGTGAAAGTGTTTTTGCAAATTAGGCAATGATGAGCAAAATGAAAAGTGTTAGTCAGTTTTATTCAAACATGATAGTTTTTTCATGTTTTTTGGTTTTAATCAGGTTGGAAGTTGTGTTCAACTAATCTTTTGGCTAAACCAACCTAATTTACCCAATCTATGTTTTCACTCGGGCAAAAAATGCAAATTAGTCTCATCAGCCAAAAGAATTAAGTTTAATCGCAACTTTTAAAAGTCAAAGACGGCTTTTGAACCATCAACCTCTAGAGTTGGAGTCTGTCTGTTACAGATGACGCCACTTATGTAGATAGCAACGCATAGGAGAAAATACTTCTTAACACTGACGTGTTCACACTAACTTTGTCTGGTGGTTTCCTCAAATTTTGATCATTACATTGTTTATTCTAACCAAATTAGCTTTAAGCAACTAGATTGGTTACAAAAACAACCAATCTATTCTTAGAATCTATCCAAACTCTATCCAGCTGACAGCAGCTCTCCTCCAAACTCCCACATCTTAACTGAACACTGAGGCTGTTTAGATGCCTCTCAAAATTCTTGCGCTTCCTGAACCACTTCCTGAAGCGGTCACATGGTTTCACGGTAGCGAGGCCTCGGACCTCATCAATTTTCGCCCCTCCTCTAAATGAATCACGCAT